TGATGCTTTATAAATATCTGTAAGAAATAAATGTCTTATGAACAATTTGACATTGATTTCCCAAGAGTCTGTAGGCAGCACAGGCTATATCATTCTCACCTAGGCGAGAGGTGGAAATAGAACAAGGAGTACAACAAAAAGGTAATCTATAAAAGGAAACAAATATGCAATTAAAACAAAAGTGGGGATACAAAAGTAATATGAGTGAAGGTGCATAATGAGAGGTCTGCTTTAACAAGCAATGAAAACAAGCCATCTCTGACCTCTCTTGCTGCTTTTAATTTGAAGTTTTTAATTCTCAAAAATCATAGAAAAGACACTGAAGTTTCAGTTGGTTTCTAACAACCCCTGCTAACTTAAGGTGACCACATACCAATACAATCTGATTGTATAACATCCTTTAGATTTACCAACAACTATGTAATTTAGGGGCCTGTGCAACTGGATAGAAATGGATTGGACTGAGAAGATTTGTCCTCATATTACATAATTTGCACAATGTACAGTTCAGTAAACTTAAAATCCGCTTGATATATCAGCAAACAGAAAAGTGGCAGGCATTGGGGAGATTTACTAAAACTGGCTCACACAGAATCTGGTGAGGCTGTGCATGGCAGCCAATCAGCTTCTAACCTCAGCTTGTTCAGTTAAGCTTTGGCAATAAAACCTAGAAGCTGATTGGTTTCTATGCAGAAGTGCACCTTATGTTGTACTCTCCAGTTTTAGTAAATAAAAGCCACTGTCTTCAGATTCAGCTCAAGCAAGACCGGTAAATCTTCCCATCAGTACAACTCCATCTTATATGCACAACTTTTAGCGTTCCAGCCACAGCACGCACAGTATTTCAAAGTCCCCGTTAGAGGCACGCTCACCCAGCAGGTAAAAGTCATACTATGGAGAAACCCAGGCTGCATCCAGATCTCACTGCAGACAGCAGCCTCTCTGATCACCTGGTAAATAAACAGGCATGAAAGGAAAACACTTGCCCTCTACAATTAATCCTCTCTTAACCCGCTGCAGGCTGACTTTCCACAAGGGATTATGCAAATCAGATCATGGTATGTATGGTAACAACCCTGTTCGTTGTTTGCATTGAAATGCCAGTAGGCTGTCATGATTTGCTCTCATAGAACAGTGGGTCCCAACCTGCAGTATGTAAAAAAAAAAAAAAATAATGAAAGACTGGTTGCAAACGAACTGTTACAAGGTCACTAAATGGCAGTAAGCGGTGTATGCCTCAATGGGCAGGGGGAGTCACCTCCTCTTGCCTAAGTTCTCCTCACTGACAGCAGTCACTGCATGCTGCCACAACAAATACTCTACAGGTTTTCAACTGTTCTCTTGAGTCTGCAGCAGCTCCCTATCCAAGCGCTGGGACAACATGGTAAACTGCAGCACTCTACACAACAGTGGCTCAACATGCTGCAGAAGCCTCATGGTGCCCACTGCCTCCATTGACACACCACTGTGTGAACATTGTACTGCCACATAATGCTGCCTGGTGATTGCCAGAGGAAAAGACCAAGCACCCTTCCAAAGGTGCCCGCTGGTGTCCCGACACATGCTGGGCTTAGGGGGGAGATTGGAGAGAAGATGAAGGGGAGAGCCTGGAGAGGTGCCAAGACAGAGTGTTCCTGTTGAAGTTGGTAAGTAACATTACACTGTGAATCTGTGATTCAGGGCAGTAAATCACCCTATTATTCCATTGGCAATGGTCCCATTATTCACTGTCACAAGATATAGGTTTGAAATAACCACAACTATCCTAATCACAAACATTTTACTAATGTGAGGGGTACAATGTATGAAAATGGGCAGCCAAGGTTTATACAAGTGAAAAAAAGGTTGGGAACTACTGTCATAGAAGAAAAGCAAAGCCTGTGCTGTGAACTTTGAAAATTGATTTCTTCACAATCCTTATATAAGTCCAAATAGTCAACAGGGTCGCAGAAACATGTTAAGAAAAAAAAACTCTGCAAATTAACTGCCAAAGATTTGAGAAGAATCAAATGTGATGCTACCAGGAACCCATTATCTTCCAGTGCTTTCATATTCCAGAACTGCAACCTACCTGTAGTTCCCAGAAGTACAAGGTGTTTAGTGCTCAGAGACATGACCAAGGTAAGGTAGGCTGAAACCCAGCCACCACTGAACAAGACACATAAGTTGAAACATCAAGACTGGGCCAAGAAATATGTAAAAAAGAGGTTTTTCAAAGGTTTTATGGACTGATGAGTTGAGTGACTCTTGAACCAGGTGGATAAGCCTGTTGCTGGATCAGTAAGGAGCAGAGAGCTCCACTTCAACTCAGATGCCAGCAAGGTGGAGATGGGGTACTGGTATGGGCTATTATTAGTAAAGAGGAGCTAGTTGGACCTTTTCGGGTTGAAGATGGACTCAAAATCAACTCCCAAACCTACTGCCATTTTTTAGAAGACCCTTTCTTCAAGCAGTGGTACAGGAAAAAGTCTGCATCTTTCAAGAAGATCATGACATTTATGAAGGACAATGCGCCATTGCATGCATCAAAGTACTCCACTGCGTGCTAGCCAGTAAAGGCCTTAAAGATGTAAGAATAATTACATGGCCCTCTTCTTCACTTGACCTAAACCCTATTGAGAACTTGTGGGCCCTTCTTAAATGGGAGATTTTCAGTGAAGGAAAAGAGTACACCTCTCTGAACAGTGTCTGGGAGGCTGTGGTTGCTGCTGCACAAAAAGTTGATTGTCAACAGATCAAGAAACTGACAGACTTCATGAATGGAAGGCTTATGACTGTTATTGAAAAGAAGGGTGGCTATATTGGTCACTGATTTTTTTGTTGTTTTTTTTTAATGTCAAAAACGTTTACTTGTAAATTTTGAGTTGTTTGTTTATTTTTCTCCCTTTATTACATGACAATTAGCAAGTGAGATGGGAAAATTCATTTAGTTCCATAATAATTCTGCATACTAAAAGTTCCCAATAATTGTGCACTCAAAGATATTCTCCTAAGAAAGCCAAAACCCAACTTTTTCTTTCTTAAATATTCAGGTTTGAGGTTTATTAACATTTTGTATTGACTGAGAGCAATGTAGTTGTTGTTGAATAATGAAATTAATCCTCAAAAATACAACTTGCCTAATAATTGCGCAAACAGTGTACTGTTGAAGCTAGATCAGATACTGATTACTCTGTTGTACCTTGACCGGGATTGTTTGTTATTTCTAGGAATATGGTGGTGTGAGGGTGGCTCTCATTGTCCCTTATTGCACCTCTTCCCTCTCTTCTCTTTCTCCTGTATGGGAATAGATTTTGCCCTTTATCGGTATCTGCCTTGTTCCTGATGCCTGCCTATAGTGCCAATGCACTTACTTGACCAGTTCTACAGTGATTACTGCTTTAGTTGCTACATGCACACATTTCTATATGTATTCCTATTCTCATTGACCATGAGGTGTACCAGAGCCACTGTTGTTGGGATGTTTTCTTAACTGCTTATGTTGAGCTGGGGAATACCTAGAGGCTTTGTTTTGTAACTTTTCATCAACTTCTCGCCCGGCCTATAGTAAAATGACGGCTGGGCGAGCCTCTCGTCGATCCGGGAGGGTGTCATATGACATCCTTACCGGATTGTGCTTTGCGCGTGCCCGCAGGGCCGCACAGTGGCAAGATCTGTCACCGGCTGTGTACCTCGGACACGGCCGATGACAGATCTGTGTACAAGCCCAGTTGCCAGTACCATGTGACCTGCTGTGACCAATCACAGCAGGCCACGTGACAACTGTAAACAATGGATGGCTTCCTTTCATGCCATCCATTGTATACAAGTGTGTCTAGCTGTGAATGGTCACAGTGATCACATGCACAAGCTGACCTATTCACAGCCCATCTGTATCATGTGATTAGCCTTGGCCAGTCACAGCTAATCACAACAAAAAAAAACCTGAATAAATTGATTTCATTCAGTTAAATGCTTGCTTATAGCAAAGAAATTCTTTGCTATAAGCAATCAAATTGTGTAAAAAATAATAATAATAATAAAAAAAACTGATCACTTCCCCAAAGTAGTACAATGTTACTAAGGTAACATTATACTAGTTTGGTCATAGTGTAATTATGAAAAAAAAAATCTTGAAAAAAATGTAATTAAAAAATAATGAAAACTTTTTTAATAATTAAAACAAAATCATCAATTTTTTTTTTTCCGTACTGACACTAGTCAGTGTGCCTGATCACCGCCACACCAGTTATATGATAGTGCTGTACTGTACTGGTGACAGCATGAAAAAAAAATTAGTGAAAATTATTTTTTTAATTTCTTCATTTTCCAAAACATTATGACAAAAAAATTACAACTTCAAAAAACTTGCCATGCCTCTTATGAAATATGTTGGACTGTCTAATTTGCAAACAGGGGTCATTTGGGGGGATATCTGTACTGTTCTGCCATTTTTGAGCCTCAAGAAATTAGATTGGCTGTCAGTACTCCAGGAGTGATCAATTTTCAGATATATCCCATAGTTTGTGAATTCTATAACTTTCCTACAGACTAAATAAATACTGATTTGGATTATTTTCACCAAAGAAATGTAGCAGCATACATCTTGGTCTAAATGTATGAAGAACAATTATTTATTTTCAAACTTTTATAACAGAAAAAACTTGTTTTTTTTTTTTTTTTTTTTTTCAACATTTTCTGTCTGTTTTTTTTTTCTTAATTTAGCAAAAAATAAAACCCTAGTGGTGATTAAATACCACCAATAGAAAGCTCTAGTTGTGTGAACAAAATGATAAAAATTTCTTTTGGGTACAGTGTTGCATGGCCACGCAATTGTAATTTGAAGTGTGAGAGTGTTGAAACCTGAAAATTGGCCTGGACAGGAAGGGGGTATAAGTGCCTGGTATTGAAGTGGGTAATAACCACAATTCGTAAAAAAAAAAAAAAAAAAAAAATTATGTGTTCTATAAAAAAATTTATATTATGAGATTCTGTAGATCATCTATTTGTTTGTATTCCAGGAAAGCTTGGAAAGACATAAATATCTGAATGGGTTTTGTACACAGTGCTGGAGATGCATTTTATGGAATTAACCAGTTTTCTGATTTGTCAGCTGAGGAGTTTTCATGTAAGTTTTTAAAGCAATATGCTTTATTTACTTTTTTTGTTTTAAATACATGGATATTTTTTGTACTGTGTAACTCCCCTTAAACCGTTTGTATTCATTAACCACTTCCCAACCCACAATGTACTGCGGCAGGGCGGCAGCTACAGGCAAAGCAATGTACCCATACAACGCTCTGGTTATACTAACACAGGGGCACGCTGCGCTCCCCCCTCGCGACTGCTGTGTCCAGCGGACACAGCGGAATGAAGGTCCCAGTGACTGGGACCCGGTGATCATGTGATCGCTGTGTGATCACAATGTAAGCAAAACTGTTAGGAATCAGTCTCATTCAGAACAGCTCTGCTGCTCTTCCTAGTGAGCTGTGATTGGCCCACAGCTGTCACATGATACATGGGACCAATCACAGCACCCTATACCATGTGACAAGCTCCAGCCAATCACAGATCACTATCCTGAGCTGTCAAAACTTAACCCATTCATAACAGTTCATGAATGAGTTAGGTTCATGACAGCAAGCTTTGCAGTGCAGGATAAATGATCCTTATTCCTCAAGCAAAGTGTAAAAAAAAAATCCCTGATCACCCCCCCCCCCCCCCCCTTCCACAGTAGTGCAATGTTACTATGGGGCTTGACGCTATTTCCAACAAGCCATAATACAGCTACACGTTGCATTGATTAGTAAATGGAGTTTAGATCTTTTCTAAGAAACAACTGAGTTGGTTTGATGGTATAACAAGGGTCGGGTACAACTTGAGTGGCTGGTCTGTAAATTTCTGTGTGATACTGAGAACCTCTGACAAAAGCATGTACCTTGTCACATAACCAAAAGACATGTAACAGATCCCCTATGGCTTTCTCACATCTCCAGCAAAGATTTTAACTTGATGGGAGCATTTTCCTCAAGTGGGCTGGTATATAATACCATCTGGTGAGAATTTTAAAATCCAGTTCTTGGTACCTTGAGCAGATTGAGGTTTTATATGCAGATCGAAAAAGTCTAGCCACGTGATCAGGAGTGAAATAAATCTGAAGGTCCCTTTACCATTTGCCTATAAATGGTGGCCTATAGCCTGACTTAGACAAGATAAGCATATCATAGGTCAAAGAAACTGTGTGTCTGAGGGGTTCTGACATGTCACAAAGCTGTGCAAATGGGGTAAAGGTACACACAAACATTGACACCGAGGGAAGTGAAGAAAGGAAATGCAACATCTAAATTTTAGTCCAGAAATTAAGAGTAGCTACTGTAAGGTCAAATGCCATCAATTCAATGTTGAACTATCTGCTACCCACCATAAAATGGTGCACTCGACAGACCTTCTGTATCACCAAATTTGGAAGGCTATGGTCTTCCAGACCTAGGCAGAAGACCAGGTTTCCCAAAATTGGAAAGAAAGGTGATGGACTCGGGGAGATAGTCTTTACTAAAAGGGTTTTCTGGCATATTGACCATGCCACTCCTATAGTAAGATGGAACTTTATAGCTCGTGGTACTGCCACAGAGCACAGGGAAGAGTGAGCAGAGGGATTGATGATATGGTTTATTCAGTAGCTTCTTACTGTTTTTGGGAGCTATGCTTCAGCCAGTCAAGCACCCTCGTCAGGTGCCGCCTGATAGCAAGAAATATCTGGAAATGCCATCGCACCCACCAGTGTTAGTAGTAAAAGGATTGCCAGTAACAGTCTGGGGCAGGGGTCTCCAACCTTTATAAACAAAGGTCCAGTGTACTGTCCTTCTGACTTTAGGGGGGCCAGACTGTGGCCATTGGGAGAAGAAAATGTCCTGGCATCAGTGGGAGTAAACAGTGCATCATCATTCGTATTAACGGGAGATATAGTGCCCCATCACTGCTATCAATGGGAGGAATAGTGTCCCATTGTTGGTGTTAGTGGGAGGAATGGTGTCCCATTGTTGGCCTCAGTGGGAGGAATAGTGCCCTATCATTAGTGTCAGTGGGAGGAATAGTGCCCCATCCTTGCTATCAGTAGGAGGAATAGTGCCCCATCATTGCTGTCAGTAGGAGGAATAATGCCCCATCATTGGTGTCAGTAGGAGGAATAATGCCCCATCATTGGTGTCGGTGGGTGGGGAATAGTGCCCCATCATTGGTGTCGGTGGGGGGAATAGTGCCCCATCATTGGTGTCGGTGGGGGGAATAGTGCCCTTTCATTGGTGTCGGTGGGAGGAATTGTGCCCCATCATTGGTGTCGGTGGGAGGAATAGTGTGCCCCATCATTGGTGTCGGTGGGGGGAATAGTGCCCCATCATTGGTGTCAGTGGGGGGAATAGTGCCCCATCATTGGTGTCAGTGGAAGGAATAGTGCCCCATTGTTGGTGTCAGTGGCGGGAACTATGCCCCACTGTTGCTGATGGTGGGGGGATTAATGCCCCAAGGGCTGGATAAAAGCAAGCAAAGGGCCGCATCTGGCCCCCAAGCCACAGTTTGGAGACCACTGGTCTAGGGGGTTTGTTGAGCTATAAGAATTGAACAAAGGCTCTATTCACTTGCCTTAGAAAAAAACGAAGGGATGTGAACAGGGAGGCCTTGAAAGAGGTATAGTATTCAGGGCATAATATTAATATTTAATATAATGCACCTGCCAAACCATGAAAAAGAGCCTGCCTGTCAGCTCCTCAGGTCTCTCTTAATCTGTTGAACAAGAGGAGAAAGATTAAGCGGAATTGTAAGAGAGACATCTTTAGGAAGTTTATTACCTAAATACTGTATACAAACCATTTAAAGCACACTCAGAACTTCTAATCTGCATACTTATTTCAGAGAAGCCACTGGATCCCCATGACAGACAACTAGTATTTTCAAGAAAGGTCAACAATGACAGGTGCTTTTTAAGCACCACACAAAGCTTAATCTATGTAGCATGACTACACACTTGTGGCAAATTTAGAAAACAATGATTTCCTAAAGTATTAGACTAATTAAAGTGCTAAGCAAACAGATTGGTATCGCTTGTACTGTCCGTTATTATACTTGTTTGTATTCTTTCTTTAGACGTTTACTTGAAGAGCTACCCTGCTATGAAAGACAATTATATTGTACCTAATAAAACATTTTCAAAAGAAAATGATCTTCCGTTGAGGTTTGACTGGAGAGACAAAAATCTTGTGACATCTGTGAAAAATCAGAGGGATGTAAGTTCCAAGGGTCCTTTCTGTCTCACTTTTTCCTCCAGTGAATGGATGTGCATTTATTTGGATGTATTTTGATGTGCATGTATTTGTAGGTGTGCTAATTGGTAATGGTTATCCTTACAAAACCAAGCATATGGGTTTATTTACTAAAGCTGGTTCACTCAGAATCTCGTGCACTTCTGCATAGAAACCACTCAGCTTATATACAGTCATTTGCTATACACATGTTTTATTCCCTTTGTATGTATTGGAACAAATATAAAACAGAGGCAGAAAAGCAAATATGACATAATGTCACACAAAACCCCAAAAATGGGCTGGACAAAAGTATTGGCACCCTTAACTTAATATTTGGTTGCACACCCTTTGGAAAACATAACTGAAATCAGTCGCTTCCTATAACCATCAATAAGCTTCTGACACCTCTCACCCGGAATTTTGGACCACTCTTCCTTTGCAAACAGCTCCAGGTCTCTCTTATTGGAAGGACACCTTTTCCCAACAGCAATTTTAAGATCTCTCCACAGGTGTTCAATGGGATTTAGATCTGGGCTCATTGCTGGCCACTTCAGAACTCTCCAGCGCTTCTTTGCCATCCATTTCTGAGTGCTTTTTGACGTATGTTTGGGGTCATTGTCCTGCTGGAAGACCCAGGATCTTGGACGCAAACCCAGCTTTCTGACACTGGGCCCTACAGTGCGACCCAAAATCCTTTGGTAATCCTCAGATTTCATGATGCCTTGCACACAGTCAAGGCACCCAGTGCCAGAGGCAGCAAAACAACCCCAAAACATCATTGAACCTCCACCATATTTTACCGTAGGTACTGTGTTTTGTTCTTTGTAGGCCTCATTCCGTTTTCGGTAAACAGTAGAATGATGTGCTTTACCGAAAAGCTCTATCTTGGTCTCATCTGTCCACAAGACGTTTTCCCAGAAGGCTTTTGGCTTACTCAAGTACATTTTGGCAAACTGTAGTCTTGCTTTTTTATGTCTCTGTGTCAGCAGTGGGGTCCTCCTGGGTCTCCTGCCATAGCGTTTCATTTCATTTAAATGTCGACGGATAGTTCGCGCTGACACTGATGCTCCCTGAGCCTGCAGGACAGCTTGAATGTCTTTGGAACATGTTTGGGGCTGCTTATCCACCATCCGGACTATTCTGCGTTGCAATCTTTCATCAATTTTCCTCATCCGTCCACGACCAGGGAGATTAGCTACAGTGCCATGGGTTGCAAACTTCTTGATAATGTTGCGCACTGTGGACAAAGGCAAATCTAGTTCTCTGGAGATGGACTTGTAACCTTGAGATTGTTGATATTTTGCCACAATTTTGGTTCTCAGGTCCTCAGACAGTTCTCGTCTCCTCTTTCTGTTGTCCATGCTTAGTGTGGCACAGACAGACACACAATGCAAAGGTTAAGTGAACGTCTCTCCTTTTTATCTGCTTTCAGGTGTGATTTCTATATTGCCCACACCTGTTACTTGCCCCAGGTGAGTTTACAGGAGCATCACATGCTTGTAACATTCTTATTTATCCGCAGTTGTGAAAGGGTGCCAATACTTTTGTCCAGCCCATTTTTGGAGGTTTGTGTGACATTATGTCGAATTTGCTTTCTTTCCTCCCTTTTTTTGTTTTGTCCCAATACACACAAAGGGAATAAACATGTGTATAGCAAAACATGTGTTAATGCAATACGTTTCGTGAGAAATACATGATTCCTGGAGAAAATATCAAGGGTGCCAACAATTTCGGCCATGACTGTATTTCATTGCGAAAGCTTAATTGAATAAGTTGGGTTAGAAGCTGATTGGCTACCATGCACAGGTGCACCAGATTCTAGGTGAACCAGCTTATGTAAATAAACCCCATAGTCACTTCTCCATGTCTCCAAGTCCATTTTTACTAAAAAAACCCATTCATACAGCTTTCTGTATCGTATTGCTTTGCTGGCCATACACTGTAAGATTTCCCTATGGGACTGAACAAGAGAAAGCTATTGATTCCCCCATCCTCACTAAATAGTCTGAATGTGAGAATCTCCCCTGTTGGCTATTATATTCTGACAGGTGGCACCTGTGGTAGTCAGCATATCCAAATACTGGCTGCATCTGATTTTTTTTCCAGTTCAACAGGAACCGTTCAAAATTTGCTCTGTGTATGGCTAGCTTTATTTTCTAAATTAAGTTCACTATTTGTTGCTGCGGAGCATAATCCCCCTTCTGGTACCCTACTGTTTACTTTAGTGGATTAGGTTAGATATGTTGTTTGGGTGTACACCTAGATAAAACAGAAGATACATTAAAGCGGAACTACAGTTGCAAGAAAAAGTAATGTGAACCCCTTGGGATTACGTGGAGTTTTGCATGAATTGGGCATAAAATGTGCTCTGAACGTCATCTAAGTCACAATAATAGAAGAACACAGTCTGCTGAACATATTACTACACACAAACATTAGATGTTGCCATGGTTTAATTGCACATAACATGTAAACATTCACAGTGCAGGGAGGAAAAAGTATGTGAGGCCCTAGCTTAATGACTTCTCCCAGAGCTAATTGGAGCCAGGAGTGAGCCAACATTGACTCCAATCAGTGTGATGATATTGGATGTGTTGCTGACAGCTGTCCTGCCCTTAAAAAACACTCACCTGTTTTGGGTTTACTGGTTTCAAGAAGCACTGTCTGATGTGAACCATGCCTCGCAGAAAAGAGCTCTCAGAAGACCTACGATCAAGAATTGTTGACTTGCATGAAGCTGGAAAGGGTTACAAAAGTATCTCCAAAAGCCTTGATGTTCATGTGTCCACGGTAAGACAGACTGTCTACAAATGGAGAAAGTTTAGCACTGTTGCTACTCTCCCTAGGCGTGGTCGTCCTGTAAAAATGACTGCAAGAGCACAGCGCAGAATGCTGCATGAGGTAAAGAAGAATCCCAGAGTGTCAGCTAAAGACCTACAGAAAATCTCTGGCACATGCTAACATTTTTGTTGACACATCTACAATAAGGAAAACATTAAACAAGAATGGAGTACATGGGAGGACACCACGGAGGAAGCCATTGCTGTCCAAAAAGAATATTGCAGCGCGTTTGAAGTTTGCAAAAGAGCACCTGGATGTTCCACAGCACTACTGGCAAAATATACTGTGGACAGATGAAACCAAGATTGAGTTGTTTGGGAAGAACACACAACACTATGTGTGGAGAAAAAAAGGCACAGCACACCAAACATCAAAACCTCATCCCCACTGTAAAACATGGCGGAGGGAGCATCATGGTTTGGGGCTGCTTTGCTGCCTCAGGGCCTGGACAGATTGTTGTCATTGATGGGAAAATGAATTCCAGAGTTTATCAAGACATTTTGCAGAAAACGTACGACCATCTGTCCGCCAACTGAAGCTCCGCAGAGGATGGGTGATGCAACAGGACAATGACCCAAAGCATACAAGTAATTCAACAAAACAATGGCTGCAACAGCACAGAATACGCTTTCTGGAGTGGCCCAGTCAGAGTCCTGACCTCAACCCGATTGAAATGCTGTGGCATGACCTTAAGAGAGCGATTCACACCAGACATCCCAAGAATATTGCTACACTGAAACAGTTTTGTGAAGAGGAGTGGTCCAAAATTACTCCAGATCGTTGTGCAGGTCTGATCTGCAACTACAGGAAACGTTTGGTTGAGGTTATTGCTGCCAAAGGAGGGTCAAACCGCAAACCAAAAACACTGTTTCATTAATTTTTGATATTCAAAGCAAACTCCTCCATCTATGTCTCCATGCTTTATTTTGCTGAGAAATCACTATGAAAGACACCCCCTAGCATGTCTGGCTCTCCTTGAGTAGGAACAGCTTGGGTAAGGACAAATGATTTATTTAGCATTTACTTTCTGGAATCCATCTGCCCTTAGCTCAGTCATTCATACTGGAGGATGTGCTTAGCTGAGAAAACCCCTGCTCCCATCCTGAAGACTCCTGGGATATATGACTTCATTTGCCTAGACTTGGAAACTAACTGAAGAAATGAAAGGATAAGTTCACCTTTCGTAATCATGTTACACCCTTGTTACAATAAGACTGGCCCCATTCCCCACTTTGACAGCTAGAGGGGGATCTTCACTGTTAAATTTAAAAAAAAAAAAAAAAAAAAAAAAAAAAAACGTGCTGTGCAGGGCTCCGGCCGCGTCACTCATTCACAGTCCTCTGTAAATGTGAGACTACAAGTCTCGACAGCCTTAGTGGCCATCGGCTAGTAGTCCTTAATGAATTACCATGGCACTGTGGAGTGCCCTGGTAGTTCATTAATTTTTCCTGTCAGTATGTCTGCTTGCTGGTACACCCCATACAGGCAAGCAGATATACTGACAGATCTGAAAGAGACCTGCATGGCACCAGCAATCTGCTGATCGCTGGTGCTATGCTTTACAGGCTCCTGCAGACAAAAATAATAAATACACATTTTTTTTACCTGCAAAAAAATTAGCATTTATTATTTTTTTACCAAAAGGTGAAATGATCCTTTAAAAAAAAAAACATTTAAAACAAGTAACTATGATCTACTTTCCTATCAATTTACTAACGCTAGCAGCATAAGGATTAAAAATGGTCCAATTTTGAACCAGAGGGTGACGTTTCATCTTTAATAATGTATGCATATTTTCTCTTCTCTACATAGCTCAAGTAGCCATTGTATCTGATAAGTGCCTAGAAGAAAGACCACACTACAGTAAATATATTAAGAATAAGAATATTTTAATGCATGCAGGACATTTACCAATTATTGTACATTTCTTAGTAAGTTTCCAACAGATTTAAAGGGCACAATGTATTTGCTTAGACATTGAAGCAGTCAGATGTAAACGAGCAGCGCAGCTGAGCACATGTCACAGCCTCACAGCAATGGAAAGAGAGAGTCCCTCATCTGGCTCCCAGAGCACAAAACAATTGACAGTACTGAGCCAAATCTATTTAACCAAAAATATAAAATAGCGAAATATTCTGATTGTTATTAAAAGTTGCTCTTTAAAATGCTGGTAGACTATTCAAGCAATTGGTATCTAAAACTGAACCAACGTTTTATGTGTATGCTGGAACTTTAAATCCTTGGGACTATGTGCTGGTGACCTTTTGTAACTTTATGACTTACAGTAAGTGAAACCAGGATTCCATGTGTTTTTTTCATTTTTTTCTTTTTTTTTTTTTAAATTCGGTAATTTCAAAATGGCAGTAATCTGATTTTATAGCCAGCTTACAAAACTCTGAAATTTATTTTAGATTTTATTTTTCAGTGTGGTGCTTGCTGGGCTTTCAGCATAGTTGACACGGTGGAGTCTGCCTATGCTATCAAAGGACATCCTCTCATGGACCTTAGTGTACAGCAGGTCATTGACTGTTCGTACATGGACAATGGCTGCAATGGTGGATCCACCCTCAGTGCCTTGAAATGGTTATATCAGGTTGTTTGATTTTCCTTTCTCCCATATTGACATAATTTGTCCTTCATAGAAATCAGTGTGGTATACATTAACTCTGCATAAAGACCAAATAAAATCCAGAAATAGATATTTGCTCAGGTAGACATTTTGCTAACGCCCTCTGTTTCTCAGCACTACATTTTTGTGTGAGAATATCTGTGATAAGTGGTGTGGCCAATACTTATATATGCCAGCACAGATCACTGAAGGAAGACGTGCATTTCCACTAAGAGAAACATTTAGGTCATTTTAAGGCATTTCCAAGTGAGAAGCATTGAAAAATATTGCCTACAGCATTTCAGAGTTTTAAAAAGGTGTGCAACTTCAATTGGAGCTTAGGTTGTTAGTTCTGCTCTTTAACAATGTTAAAAGAGAAGTTTGGGATAGATTAACAAAATAAAATACATACTCGCTGCCATGCTGCAACATCAGTCTGATGCTACTGCTGCTGTACCCCGCCAGCTCTAAGCCCAAGAACTGAGCTTAGAAACGACCCTTAATTGCTCATTGAAGTACCAGGCTGATGATGGGGACAGGAGCAGCTGACTTCCTGACCCTGGACTGGCTCTGTGGCAACTTTAGCCTGCTGTCAGTTAATTCCTTGGTCGCAGTAGTGCCAAAGTAGATGCACTTCTGCGACCCAGAAAAAGAAGTATGACTGAAAAAACGTTAGCCATGCTTCTCTTTACAGTAAAACAGTGTATCTACAGTATGTGCAGAAATATAAATCTAGCACGTAGTGTGGTTTTAAATACCCATCGTTTCTAGCATAGTTGTTTTAAATATCGAGTTTGTCAAGTTGCAAAACTTGCTTATACTAGTTCAGCTAGACTAACTTCCTTCAATGCAGTGACACAAATTGTGGATCATTTAGCACTGACATCACTGGTAACCTTACCCTTACCTGACAGTTACAATACAACTCCACCTTTCTTAGTTGGAGTTTGCCTGCAGTGCAGAGGGCATTCTGGAAGAGAAGACCTTAGAGAAAATGGCTCGTTTTATGAAATCCTCATTACTGCCTGCAAAGAAACATGGAAACTGTAGTTTTCACAAGCAATGTGTGTTTCACATGCAGCCACAAATGCATGTACAGTTAGGTCCATATATATTTGGACACAGGCACAATTTTAGTATTTTTTTTTCAGGTATTTACCAAAACATATTCAAGCTATAGTTACAGTATATATTGGATATGGGCTGAACATGCACACTCTCAGGTTTAATTTGTGGGTATGTACATCCAAATTGTAGGAAGGGTTTAGGAATTACAGCTCTTGAGTAGCCCACCCCCCCCCCCCCCCTTCCCTTTTTCAAGGGACCAAAAGTAATTGGACTATTGAATCAAAAGCTGTTTCATGTCCAGGTGTAGGCTACTCCTTCAATATTTCTTTATGGATTAAGCAGGTAAAAGGTCTGGAGTTGATTCTAAGTGTAGTATTTGCATTTGGAATCTATTGGTGTGAACCTACATCATGCGTTCAAAGGAGCTGTCCATGCGAGTGAAACAGGCCATTGTAAGGCTTCAAATATTAAACAAATCCATCAGAGAGATAGCAGCAACATTAGTAGTGACCAAATCAATGGTTTGGTACATTCTGAGGAAAGAAGAACACACAGGTGAGCTCAGCAACATAAAAAGGCATGGATGTCTATGGAAGACAACAGCGGTGGATGATCACAGGAATCCTCTCTATGGTAACGAAAAACCCATTCATAACATCCGGAAGGACACTCTCCAGGAGATGGGTGTATCATTGTCAAAGTCTATCAAAGTCAAAGTCTACAATCAAGAGAAGACATCACGAGAGCAAATACAGAGGGTTCACCACAAGGTGCAAACCATTCATAAGCCTGAAGAATAGAAAAGCTAGATTAGACTTTGCCAAAAAAATCTAAAAAAGCCAGACCAGTTCTGGAAAAAAGCATTCTTTGGACAGATGAAACTAAGATTAATCTGTACCAGAATGACGGGAAGAAAAAAGTGTGGAGAAGGCTTGGAATAGCTCATGATCCAAAGGACACATAGTCATTTGTAAATGTGGTGGATGCAGTGTGATGGCATGGGCATGCATGGCTTCCAGTGGCACTGGGCCATTGGTGTCTATTATTGATGTGACAGAAAACAGAAGCAGCCGGATGAATTCTGCAGTGTTTAGAGTGATACTGTCAGTCCAGATTCAGCCAAATTGTCAGGAATGCTCTCAGCACTGGTGGTGGGACTCGCCTGCCGTGTGGGCTGCAGTACCAGAGCTGACCAGCGGGTGCTCTCAGCACTGGTGGTGGAACTCACCTGCCGTGTGGGCTGCAGTACCAGAGCTGACCAGCGGGTGCTCTTAGCAGCCAGAAGCTCACAATCCGCCAAACCTGGGGCTGATTACAGAAAGGTGTATATAAGGCATGACCAGGCCTGTGCTCTGGGCCTTGGTGTATGTTTTCCCATGAGCCTCTGTACCTGTATCCTGTGTTCCTGCTTCGTTGCTGACCCGGCTTGATCCTGATCGCTGTTGACCGTCTCCTGTTCTGACTGCTGGCTCATCCCTGACTATTCTTCTGCCTACTTCTATGCTGTTTGACCTCCTGTTGCTGTACCTTGGCTTGTGACCCGTTTACTCTTTGCCTGCTGCTCTGTACTGATCTGCCTCCACCGTTACCGACCCGGCTTGTCTGACCACGCTAACTACTCTGCCATCCATCCATCCTGCACGGATCCAGCCGTACCTGCACATACCTCTGGCGGATCCTCCTACCACTAGCAGGTGTACTCAGGGGCCGCGACCTGGTCTCAGTCCTGCGCCAAGTCCATCCCCACCATCAGGGGCTCTGGTGAAAAGGCAGACTGGGGCTTAGACTCCGCGCCCTGGGGAATCCTGCCCTGGGGACCGCTAGAGGTACCACCAGGCAGTTGTTACAGAACCCTACGGCCGGCCTGACCATTCCACCCCTCCAGCCCTGACTACGCCTGTGTTCCTGCACCTCCTAAGATTAGTGGAAGGTTAGTTTGTTCACTGTGCGTTTATATAGATATATATCTGGGTGGCTAATAATAACCTGTATTATATTGTACCTGAGACCTGCGTTTCCCTGTGTCAGTCCACACCTTTCTGGTCATTCCTAGATTCCTGACATCACACCAAGGCCTTTCATGACCAGAAGTGGCTGCACAGGGAAGCCATCTTGACTTGTTGTGAAGGATGCATCCTGATAAGGTTATATATTTGTCTATGCTAGTCTTTGATGACAGGGAATATGCCTATCAGACTCTGCGCGAGTATACCCGGGATCAGCTGCTAGGGTGCATACGGGTCGCTCATTCCCTAGTAGGTCAGGACCTAGAGCTCTCTGAGGTGCAACCATTGATTCAGGCTTGTATTGAGTTGGCTTCATCTAGTACCCCTGAAAGCAGGGATGAATTTCTTCCTCCATTCAGGGCGAGTCAAATAATATCACTGGTATGGTTGTTGGAGGATGATCCGGATTGCTTCTTGGAGCATTATTCAGCATGTTCACCACAGGTGCTAAAGAAGTGTATAAACGCAGTGCAAACTTTGACCAGACAGGCCTTGTGTAAGCTGAGCGTTGTCCAACCCTTACTGCAGACATGGTCAGACTTGTTACACCCAGCCTCAATCAGCTTGCAACGAACCAGTCCTGTTTCTCATCATTCCTCTGCTCAAAGCTCTTTTCCTGCATTCCCGACAGCACCCCCAGTGACAGCCCCCCCAGTGACAGCCCAGTATACCCAGCGATCTGCCACATGTCGGTACCCTACTCCCACTCACTGTACCATCCTGCCAGTTGACTCGGTGCCAGTTGACTCGGTGCCCGCTGTCGAGCCAGATGACTTGATGCCTGATGATTCGGTACCCGCTGTCGTGCCCGTTGACTCGGTGCCCGCTGTTGTGCCAGTTGACTCGGTGCCCGCTGTCGTGCCAGTTGACTCGGTGCCAGTTGACTCAGTGCCCGCTGTTGAGCCGGATGACTTGATGCCTGATGACTCGGTGCCCGCTGTCGTACCAGTTGACTTGGTGCCAGTTGACTCGGTGCCCGCTGTCGAGCCAGATGACTTGATGCCTGATGATTCGGTGCCAGTTGACTTGGTGCCCGCTGTCGTACCAGTTGACTCGGTGCCAGTTGACTCAGTGCCCGCTGTTGAGCCGGATGACTTGATGCCAGTTGACTCGGCCCCCGCTGTCGTGCCAGTTGACTCGGTGCCCGCTGTCGTGCCAGTTGACTCGGTGCCAGTTGACTCGGTGCCCGCTGTCGTACCAGTTGACTCGGTGCCAGTTGACTCGGTGCCCGCTGTCGAGCCAGATGACTTGATGCCTGATGATTCGGTGCCAGTTGACTTGGTGCCCGCTGTCGTACCAGTTGACTCGGTGCCAGTTGACTCAGTGCCCGCTGTTGAGCCGGATGACTTGATGCTTGATGACTCGGTGCCCGCTGTCATGCCAGTTGACTCGGTGCCCGCTGTCGAGCCAGATGACCTGATGCCTGAGGACCCAGTGCCCGCTGTTGAGCCACATAACCTTATACCTGATGACTTGGTGCCCGCTGTCGTGCCAGTTGATTCAGTGCCCACTGTTGTGCCAGTTAATTTGGTGCCTGCTGTCAAGCTTGGTGACCCGGTACCCGCGGTTCTGCTAGATGGCTTGGTGCCCGCTGACGTGCCCGGTGACTTGGTGTCCGCTGACGTGCCCGGTGACTCTGTGCCCGCTGTCGTGCCAGATGACTCGGTGCCCGCTGACGTGCCTCTGCCCGCTGCACAGCCCGACATGCCAGCCCCTGATGTCCAGTTAAACTGGCTGATAACTGATACCCAGCCTGCTCCTGGAAATCCTGTGCCCAGTGACCTGCCTTCCTGGGTTCTCCTACACAAAGAGAAGTCTACCAGCAGGAAGCCCAGCCAGCCGGTTTACTCCGGCAGTAGGATATTCAGCCAGTTATCTGACCCGGGCGGTGGAACATTTTGCCCACTAAGGACTGTTTGG